CCTGCAAATGACAAGTTTCCGTCACATTTCAATCAATTTTTTTTCCTCCTGCAAAAATTTCACTTATCATCAGAACACGTGCTACAAGCACACTTTGAACCTCTGTGCTCTATGTATTGTTTCCCTATATAACGCTTTTGTTGATTCCCCGCCTCGTTACTCATCCCTAGACTGCACGTTGAACTATAGGGAGGGGCCAGCTGTAAGGAAGGAGCATGTGCTATATGCCGATCGCCGATACATACTGATATTTCAAAATGAAGATGAACTCGATGGTCACCTCACTATGCCGGAATGCGTTCCGGCATCTGCTGCTGACTCTTGGCTTCTTCTGCCTGACTTCTGTAAATTCGAACTATATCATCATTAATTTCACATTTATCTGTATGGCACGTCCTTTATATAGCGATAATACGTCGCCAGCAAGCAATGATGTGAGTTTATTCATTTATATTCATCTTTTCATTCAATTCTCCAAAAATTCCTACAAGTTCTCGTTTTGCTGATTTACTTAAGCAAGGCGTCTCTCAATTCTAAAATGGTTAAACATAAATGCTCTAAAAGGGTTCAGCATCCGTCATACACCCTATGGCTCCAGTAAGAAAAATTCCGCTGTAAGAGCGCCTAGCATTCTTCTCATTCTGAATATAAAATATTGCATTATGGAAATTCATATACTGACTACTTTTAATCAATAAAGTAATGAACAATGGTCCATTCACCAGCCCCTGTTCTCCTTATCATTATTAATTTTTGGATTAATTCTTATCTCCATCAGACCTTTCAAAAGACTTCTTTTGTACAGTTCTGTTACGATTTTTTTTTTTGCAATTGATTTCTTACAAAATTAGTTTTCTTTGAGAAACTGAATAGGTACCAAGTAGAAGTTAAAGTTATGAAAAATACAGGTAAAAGAAAAACTTCAAATTTCTTGCTTTAAGGGTCTATCACATTTTCTACTCTTTTATCTCCTGCAGTTTTCAAGAAAATGGAAAAATGTATGCGGGTCAAGATTGCATAGGTTTGACGATGTGCTACCCAAACGCTTGTATTTGTCAGACTACTTGCTCGGAAAAGGCGGATAGACTTT